TGATACCCCCCCCTCTGCTCTAGAGACTTGAGTAGTTTCTAGAAGGCAGTGGGTGGGAGTGAGGAGGGGCTGATCTGCACACTTAAGGGACTCTGGCCAATACTCAGGCAGGAGGCTTGGCATGGGGCCAGGGTAGCCCTTGAGTGTAACTGAGCCTGCTCAGCAAGAGGAGCATTCAGATGGAAGATGGAGTGAGAGGCAGAGATTCAGGAGCCTGGGAGGGGGCCCAGTGGGAAGGGGCCTACCTCCAGGTTGGAGCTGGAAAGGATGATCACTTGACCTCATCGGTCCCCAGAGAGAGGATAACCTGTAGAGACAGGGAAGGAGCCAGCCCAGCAGAAGACCTGAAGGCAGCCACCAACCCAACCAGCCTGCATGCGAGGCACAGTGAGTAATCTTACACCCTTCGGGCCAGATACGGGGAGAGGGCATTACTGTGGGAAACCTGACTAGCCCCCATCTGGGACTGTGCATTTAAAGCGACAGATTCTGGGACCCCTTGCTCAAGGACTCTCTCAGTACAGCTGGATGAGAAGAGGATTCATCTGGGGTCTAGGGTGCTAGGGTGGTACAACAGGAGAGGCTGGAGAGCTCTCCAAGCAGAGATCTGCTGTATAGAGACTTGTAAATAGTTGCTAAAGAGTTGTCCTCAGTTACAGTTTCCTGGGGCATTCATATACACCCCTCAACCCTATCCAAGTTCAAAACTCCTTAATAAAACCTAAAAAAATAAGCTCAAGGACTGTTTACTGACTCCAGTGTGCAAGTGTGAAGAAAATGCATATTGCCTGGCTCTGCAGGACTATAGGGGGGGGGGACACAAAAACTCAGCGACTCTAAGGGAGTAGTGCTACAAACATGTTATGTTTTATGGGCTGCAGCCTGGTACATTTAGCAATTAAATAATAGCTGGGTATTCAAATGTGCAGAAACAGTTCATGTTACAACTGTATGTGTTGTGTGGTAAAGTGGTAAAATGCCTAGTGGCGACCCTAAAGTGATGAAATGGTACTAAACCTTAAAGCAAACCCTATATTAAGTATAAGGGAAAAAAGATTATGGACTAAAAGAAGTTAAAGTGATACTAAACCCAGGAGCTTGCATTCACTAGATCTGGTCTCCCACAGTACACAGAACATAGAAGTGCAATTCTTTTAGTAAATATAAACTTCTAAATACCTTTTCTCATCAGCAGTATATAGCAGTCTTTTGACTTCTATCAGTGTCCAGCAGAGCACATGTTAAAGATTGTAGGAGAAGCTTCCATTCTGCTCTAGGAGGATGCAGGACTCCTAACCTCTGGACAGTGCTGCTTGGCCCTGTGCTGATCACATGCACCTCTCTAGGAACACACACCAAAGTGAGCATGCGCAGAGTGACTCTGCACAATATGTATTATCAGGAGATAATAGGGGGACACTGGAAGAAGGGGAGAATCAGAGAAGTCAGAATCAAACAGCGTTTTTACACAATGCAGAAGACTAACCCCTTAGGATCCACAGTGAATATAACAAACACGCTTTACTGCATATACAGACTGATTTTACTGTTGTGGGTTTAGTAACACTTTAAGGATTGAAAGTCAAGTTTTCAACAGTAAATTATGTAACTGTAGTAAAAGAATTTATGCGTCTTTTAAAAATGAGCATGCACCATAAAAGTGGCCATAAAATGGTCCCCCTGCTCCTGACACATGTCTTAGTATTCACGACACCTGTCAGTGGCTATGCTTATTTAGTGCTGAAGTAGTCACATCGTTCAGTATTGTATGCTTATCTTAGAGCATGTCCTTCCAATAATCGAAGTGTTAAAAGGTCCCGGCCTTCACGGTGAAAAGATCAGCTCTGTTCTTGTCAACAAAGCAAACCTAGTTCACAACCTGGGGGTAACCCCCTTTTACCGCATACGGATAAAGACTATTTTTTGAACTTTATGGAGAGACTAACACAATTGGCAGAGAACTACGGAAGACCTTTCTGGAGACTGTGCACAACCCCAACTGACCACAGTAACCCTGTTGATCTAGTCCCTTAATGCTGATGTAGGATGAAAGGCAAGCCACAAAGCCCTGTGGACATACAACGGAGGTCACTTTCACATCCCAAGCAAAATATCTGAGGCGGAGCGGCTGTGACCCAGGAGATTAAGTCATGGTGAAACTAGGGATTGTTCCTTCAGCAGTCTAGAGAGAAAGTCACAGCGGCAGCTCCCCTCCTCTCACCCTCCCCAGCTGAGCTTCTAAGAGGAAAAGAAATCTTTTGAAGGCGCCAGGGTGTTATTGCACCACAAAATGCTATATGTAGAGTGCTAAGCTTTGTCACTGCTGCTGCAGGGTTCAGTGCCAAGCCAGCAAACAAATACAAACCCTTCTGTCTCCTGGAACTGGCTTCTACCTCCTGTGGGGAGAACTCACTCACAAGCCAAGTCACTTCCTTAGCTTTTTTCCTTCTACTTATGCATACAGGCTTCATTTATTTATTTCAGTAAAGAAAGAACAGTCAATCCAGCCTCTCCAGCTTCATGGTGACAGTTTTCTGGGATTTTCTAAGGTCTATGGGTTTATGCTAGAGCACATTTTATTTAAAAAAATGAATTGAATTCTACCCTTTTTTCGAAATTATATAATATAACCAATGTAGAATTTAATGCTGCATCTTTAATGCTTTAAAGGATCACCCCACCTAATATGTTAAAGCTGATCTCGAGGCATAAACATTTTCATATACAAATATTCCTCAATAGCTACAAAAGGATATAAATCCACTTTGTGTGCACCATATGCCTTTGCAAATCCAGATATTAAAGTAGCGGTGACATCATTATTGTGTTGTGCATAGCTTGTGCAGAGGGAGGCCCCAACCACTACAGTCCAACTACAGAAAACGACAGGAGGAGGTGGAGACCAGACCAAGCACCCTGCACAAGGAGTGAGAACAGCAGTGACCGGTCTTTATTACAGGAAGCTGCTGCACAGAAGTATAGTTCTACACTGGATTATTGCACAGATCTGGAAGAAATACACAAAGCATGCCAGGATTTAAGTAAAAATACGCATTCCTTTTGTATATCCAGATATTAGAGTAGCTTTGACATCATTATTTTGTTGTACATAGCCTGTACAGAGAGCAGAGCTTTGGGAGACCCCAACCACTACAGTCCAACTACAGAAAACGACAGGAGGGGGTGGAGACCAGACCAGGCACCCTGCACAAGGAGTGAGAACAGCAGTGACCGGTCTTTATTACAGGAAGCTGCTGCACAGAGGTATAGTTATACACTGGATTACTGCACAGATCTGGAAGAAATATGCAAAGCATGCCAGGATTTAAGTAAGAATGCGCATTCCTTTTGTATATCCAGATATTAAAGTAGCCGTAACATCATTATTTTGTTGTACATAGCCTGTGCAGAAAGCAGAGGTTTGGGAGGCCCCAACCACTACAGTCCAACTACAGAAAACTACAGGAGGGGGCGGAGACCAGACCAGGCACCCTGCACAAGGAGTGAGAACAGCAGTGTCCGGTCTTTATTACAAGAAGCTGCTCCACAGAGGTATAGTTCTACAATGGAATACTGCACAGATCTGGAAGAAATACACAAAGCATGCCAGGATTTAAGTAAGAATACACATTCCTTTTGTATATAGACAATAGTTGCTTATCATGTAGTTCAGCTTTAGTACTTTTTGGTCTGAATCACTTGGCATGTTATATCCCTTGAGGACTTCACCTGTTTTTTCCTTTCCAGCTTTGGGTGTTCATGAGCTTTCTGTACCAAACATATCAGCCAGATTGGGTAACCGCCAACAACATATTAATGATAGGCCTAATGCTTTGGTGTATACCAAATACAAAATATTGGATACTGTGCACTGATTTTCTATTTATGTGTACTCTCCAAAGCCTTTTAGAGTGGCCAAAAATATAGGCTTGCTAAGAGAATTCATAGCTCTGAATTGAGCAATCAGGCCTATTTGACATACTGTGTATTTAACTGCCTTCCGCCCTCCATATAAGGCAATGACGGGCACAAAGTGTTTCTCTCGTTCTGGGAGGACGTCATATGATGTCCTCCTATTCTAACTGCGCATGCGCGGCAATCGGCGGTGCGCTGTGTCCCTCGGACACAGCGGATCACCGATCAACAGAAAGAGCCGAAGATTTTGGCTTGGTCATGTGATCAGCTTTGTCCAATCACAGCTGATCTTATGTAAATAGGGAAATGCCGGTTATCGGCATTTCTCTCCTCACAAGCTGTCACGCTGACAGCTCGAGAGGAGAGCCGGTAATCGGCATTTCTCAGAGGGGACATGTACACTGATCATCAGGGCACTGATGATCAGTGAACCCTGATGATCAGTGTAGCCCCAGCAGTGCCACCTGTCAGTGTCCATCAATGCCAGCTGTCAGTGCTCATCAATGCCACCTGCCAGTGCCCATCAGTGCCACATATCAGTGCACATCAATGCCACATATCAGTGCCAGTCAGTGCCGCCTATCAGTGCACATCAGTGCCGCCTATCAGTGCTGTCAGTGCTGCCTATCAGTGCCACCTAACAGTGCCAGTCAGTGCCACCTATCAGTGTTAGTCAATACCACCTATCAGTGCCATATATGAGTGCTGCCTTTCAGCGTCCATCACTGATGCCTGTCAATGCTCATCAGTGCCACCTACCAGTGCCTCCTCTTTGCCCATCAGTGCCACCTACCAGTGCCTCCTCATCAGTGCCCATCAGTGCCACCTATCAGTGCCCATCACTGCAGCCTCATTAGCACATATCAGTGAAGGAGAAAAATCACTTATTTACAAAATGTTAAAACAAAAACTAAGAAAAAAATTTTTTTTTCAAAATTTTCAGTTGTTTTAGCAAAAAATAAAAAACCCAGAGGTGATTGAATACCACCAAAAGAAAGCTCTATCTGTCTCAAAAAAATGATAAAAATGTCATATGGGTACAGTGTTGCATGACCGCGCAATTGTCATTCAAAGTACGACAGCACTGAAAGCTGAAAATTGGCCTGGGCAGGAAGGGGGTATAAGTGCCCAGTAGGCAAGTGGTTAAAATGAACTGTCTGCATAGCCCTGCATTTGAAGAATTGTACCTCTTCTAAAACCAAATCACTCTGGTCCTCTTTCTTCAACAGTCATCTCTCTTTTTTGGCATGATGAATACCCTTCCATAAAAATGTTTAACTGTTAAAAGTGTTTTAAACCATCTAACCACTAACTTCATGCATTTATTATGGAAAACAAGTAAAAATGGAAAACTAGTGGTGAAAACAGGACTTGTCTGTTTAACCAATCATTTATTGCATCTTAATTCTTCATGGTTCCCATAGCTGGGGTCATTACAGGGGTGCATCCTTTCACTTATATACTTTGTCCCTCTTTCTCATCTCAGAAAAGATGGAGGTATGTGCTTGTTGAATGATTTCATCATTAATGCCGGCATGGTGCAACTAAATTGAAAATCAGACTAAATGTTCACACACTAAAAATAGTATGTATGTCAATAACCAACTGAATTATGTGATTCTAGCTTCCTAAGTGTAACACCCTCTAGGTTAGTTACATAGTTTTTGTTAGATAGAGGCTGAGTAGTAGCCTGGAGATGAGTCAGCCTGGGAGTGAGGTAGTGAGGTTACCTCAGAACAGGCTGATAGGCTCTAAAAAGTAATGGCTTTTTGAGCCCTCCCACCTTTCCAGAAAACTAAGAGCTTTCTGGAGGAGGGGTGGAGGAGGGGAGGAGGCCCAGATCTGCATGTTTGAGGGACCTTGGCCAATCCCCTGGCATGAGGCTGGGCATGGTGACCAAGGCAACCCTCAAATGTGGCAGAGCCTGGAGGAGGTATGCAGTGCTGAGTGGAAATGTGGAGCCCGGGAGGGGGCCCCAGGAAGGGGAGCCCACCTACAGGCAAGTCACTGGAAAAGAGGATTTTCGCTCAACATCTCCCAGGGAGGACAGCCCAACGTAAGGCCTGGAGACAGCCACCAACCCACCAAGTTAACAGCGAGGACAGTGTGAGTACTGTTAAACCCACTGGGTTGGATAAGGTGTGGGGGCAGTCAGGTGCAATACCCAACTAGCTTCCCATCTGGGACTGTTTTAAATGAACAGCTCTTGGCCAGGGATACCCTCAGGCAGTTGGGTGAAGAGAAGGAATCATCTGGGGTCTCAGAGGTACACCAAAGAGTATTTGGTGCTCTTCAAGGAAAGACTGTTGCTGTCTGCATTTTTGTACATAATTGCTAAGGAGGTTGTCCTCACGTTCTGTAGTTCCATGGACATCCCATTTAATCCTAAACCCCATCCAAGTTCTTATCCCCTTAATAAAATCACAAAACCAAGCTCAAGGACTGTTCATTGACTCCAGTGTGCAAAGTGTGGGAAATGCATTTCGCTTGGTTGTGCAAATCACAGGGGAACCCAATTCAAATCCAGCGGCCCCTAAGGTGGTAGTGCTACATGCCCATCTTTACTTGAAATGAGCAGCTTTGTCTGCAGTAGAAGGACTGCAGAAAGACTATAGCTGGCCATACACTAAGGGTGCATTTACACTTGCAAATGCACCCGTAGAACCTCAGCAGGAGTTCCCATGACTAGCTGAGAGGCAGCACCATTGAAAGTAATGGGAGGCTGTTGGCTTCCTGAGCGAATCACTGCAATTTGCATGTATTCTTTCATGTAGGGATTACAGGATCAGCCCTGGGTGCTGCTAAGCACACCCTCCTGCCTGCATGCCTGGGCTAAGGGCAGATGGATTCCCAGAAGTAAATATTAATTTATCATCCAGCCTTACCTAAGATGACCACAGCTAGAACTGCTACGGGGTGTGATTTCTTAACAAAAAAAAAGCATGGAGCATGGTGGTGGGGGGTGCCCAATTTTAGTGGCATGGCAGGGGCTGGGAGGGGTGCTGGTGGTGGTGGGTGCCCTAGGGCAGCACAAGAGCTAAATACACAACTGCTCCTGAGTCACCTGGATGTACCATTGGTTCTTCCTGCTGACCTCCACATTATTACTGTCTCCTCCTGCAATGTGGAGTTCAGTAGAAGGAACCTGTAGGGCCTATTCAGACCATTACACGGTGATAATATGCATGTTGGTTCAGTGAGGTGCCATTCATTCTGAATGCCACCCTAAGGCACCTTGCTAATGGATATAGTTGTAGTTCACCACAGTGTATGATAACACTGTGCCAAGCACAGTGCCATGTGCCATGTACTAAATTACAAAAAATAGTACATGCACAGTTTTTGGTGCATTTTGGTATCTTAGGTAGCCCATTCAAATAAATGGCCTGCTTTAATGCATGGCATAACATGCCAACACTGCAGCAGTGTGTACAGGACCATATGGGAAAATAATTACAGGTAAAATGTGCTAGAGTCCCTTTTTGCTTCAACTCTTCACAAAAACTATACTACTTGTTTTATACTAACTTTTTAGGATATCCTTCTCTGAATATTTAAACTCCAGCAATAAAACAGTGTTGACTCATAGTGCAAGAAAATAGTAGTTTATGACATCCGTTTCAACATATTTTGTGGTATTTGCCCAATTATTTTTGGATATGGAATTTTGAAACTAATTTTAGAATCATTTTTCTAATGTAATTTTAAAACGGTTCAGAAACGTCTTTCCCAGCTAGTGTTTATATATCCCAGATTCCCAGGAAAATGCAGGTCTGTCATTAAGAAATCTTTTGACTGTTATATGTCAATAAAATGAGAAATTAGTGATACTTGTGACCTTGCATGGCAAACTATTAGAAACTAGAGCTTCTAAGTCATAGCACTATGTTATTGAAATGAACTATTGTGTTCCAGGGCTGTTTCTATACACCTAACAATGTATATACGGTTCACAATGTGTATCCCAAAGGTGCAAGGAATGGAAGGCCCGACACCTGCTCAAAGAAGTGGGGTGCAGCAGGGAATAAAACACCCCACTAGGTCAGGGGAAGAAAATGGAGCAATGGAAACCAAAGTGGGGCCCCTTTAAGATTTATGCTGGATGACAGCCAACCACAGCCTGCAGAGGGGATAAAGGTCAGCATGCTTGAACCTTTGTTAAAGTTTCCTGATGAAGCAGGTGTCAAACTGTGAAACGCGCTGAAGAGTCACATGACCCCTATCTCAGGGTTGGATCAGTATATTACATGATGTTTGATTTACTAAAACTGAAGAGTGCAAAATCTGATGGAGCTGTACATGATAGCCAATCAGCTTCTAGCTTCAGCTTGTTCAATTAAGCTTTGACAATAAAACCTGGAAGCCGATTGGTTGCTACTCAGGGCTGCACCAGATTTTGCACTCTCCAGTTTTAGTAAATCAATCCCAATGTATTGAGAGATGATCAATATGTGTAGGCTAACACCCTGGTTATACCTATGTAATACACAGCCATTTAAACATGTTTTACTGTCTGTTACAACTTTTGGGTACAAATAAATTTTTAAGTAAAAGTTTTTTTAATGTCAGTCATTGATAGATAATACAAGAAGCACCTGAAAAGTTTCATTTTTGTTCCTTTTCTGACTGGACAATCATAAAGAAAGAGGGAATGGGGAAGGGGGGGGGTAGCAGCTGGGACTGGGTTGTAGACCACAGGAGGCTCACCAAAGCACCAATATTCATGGCTCTCAGGGTACTTACTGACTGCTGATCTGGTGTAAAGGCACTTGGAGATTCCTACTGTCTAATTGCTGCTGTCACTCCAGCATTGCTTTAAATCCTTTGTTGTGGGTGACAAATTAGCCTATAGATTGATTTCCGTATTATTTATTTCCTACAGGTATTTATATAGCTCTATCAATTTCCACAGCACTTTAAATTCACAGCAGAATCTGTCATCTAGGAGCTTACAATCTAAAGTCCCTATCTCACGTATTAGTGTTTGGAGTGTGGGAGGAAACCGAACTACACAAAGCAAATCCATGCAAGCACAGGGAGAACATGCAAACTCCATGCAGGCAGTGCCCTGACCAATACCAATGCTGCAAGGCAGGAGTGCTAACCACTATGCCACTGTGCTGCCCTCAGACACTACATGCATTAAAATATTAAATATTTCATGGCAACATCTGAAGCCTGATGAAGAGCAGAGAATAACAAAATATCTATTTTATAGGTCAAGCCTGCCTCTTCATATACGTCTTTTTGTACTTTGCGCACTTTAAAAATGGCACCGATAATGGTATAGCACCAACTTATGTGACCCAATTTCTCTTACAAGGATGTGCCGTATTAATACTGGAGCTCTTTATGCACTTGCTGAGTAAATATCCCTAACCTTTCTCATAGACTGTAAATCAAATAGTATTTTCCTAAAGCAGCTGTAAGGAAATGAGGATATTTTCCAGTGCTGATAGGTGAAAAAACACAGAGGAAACTGAGATGGAAAGTGTGCAGTCAAGCAGAATATAGTAACCCACCCCCCCCCCCCCCCCCCCCCCCGACCACACACACACACACACCATCTCCTGCAATCCAGTGGAATTGATCAAATTGGCACTATATGGATGAGGGTGATATCTGGTTGCTCCCAGTTACATCATCATAAATCTGAACTCCGATTATGGAATTTTTTTGCATTGTTACATTGGACCAATGTAATTACACATATTCCAAATCTGCGGGATCTCCACCACTACAGTGATCGCTGTTTGTGCTGAGCAGTTGCCCCGGTGCATAGCGAACGCTGAGGGTCACTCACTCAGTACGGGAGCCATTCACAGAATGCCTTGCATTTTTTCTCAAATAATGCAAAGCATTCTTTGATTGGACAAGGTTGATGTCATCACGCCACCTCATCTAGCAAGCCAATACCCTGTGCTCATTATGCAGCACGGGACCTGGAAGACAGCAGCGATTACTGTAGTAGCTCTGACTACTACAGTGGTTTTCGGCTTCTACAGAGATGTACAGGCATGGTCGTAGATAAGGGGGTACCACCTGTCCTCCTGTACAGGGCCCAGTTCAGCAGGGGAGCCCAGGCAACTGGGTGAATTGAATGTGGGCATGGAAGGTGATCAGCACATATTGGAACCAATCCCCTGTGTGGCTGAAAGCTGGCTTCTTCTCCTTTCCCTCCCGCTGACTTTCAGCTGCTGCAGAGG